CGGGCGGGGACTGCGCGCGCTGAACTTTCACGGCCCTACGAATGCCACGCGCGTTTTTTCGGGACTTTGGAATGTATAATGGAATGTATAAATGGAAGAAATTGTAATGGAATATATAAATGTTAAGTATATAAATGGAATAAAAATTTTCCTAGGTTTTCGCAAGGCTTGTACTTTCTAGCAAAAAGTAATTTTTTCGAAAATCATTTTCCCAGATCTTAATTTGAAATATTTACATTGCTGTTCCATATCTTTACGTTCATTTCCTATTGGTTTTTCGAAATTCAGGTTTTTGAAAAAGTGATTTTTGGAAAACCGGTTTTTCTAAAATATGACTCTCGAAAAAATAACCTTTCGAATCAATGATTTTCGAAAGATGATTGTCCAAGTTTGAATTAGCCTGCGTTTTCTAACATTATTAACGTGATTTTTTTGTGATACCGTAGTCGCGCTTTAATTTTTACTAGATGTGTCGGATTCAGGTTTTTATTCTTTCGGGATTAGCTAGCTTACGAAGAAATTTGCCCACTGCTGGCTTTTGAAAAACTTCCAGTCATTTTTTTAACGCATTCATTTAAATCAAAGTGGGTAAGCTTCAAGTCACTATTTCCGGATCCTATTCTATTTCCGTCTCTAACAAAACCGGGCTCCTTTCCATGGTGGCCACTTCAGAATGATAGTTATGATTCTTGAGGGCTCTTCACCCTGCCGTTGACGCCGGCGTTTTCACTTTCACTTCCTGTGCCTGTTAGAATCTCACTAACTATCATGTCATACAGTCTCCACTTTCATTACACTATTTTTTGCCGGTTTTTGCAAGCTGTAATTTGTTTCTGAGCGTCCAAAAGACCGTTTCGTAATCGTCATTATTTCTCAAAATCCCTGCGCACTAAATATTGCCTCATTTTCTGGTCCAACCAACCGGTTAGCGCGGCGGTTAGCGTTCAGGTATGGAGGGTCGATGTTGATTCTGACAATTACCCCTCCCCCAACCCCCTCCAAACGAACTCACAAAGCCAAATAGTACGCGAGTGAACGCGGGGCGCATGGGGCACGCGACTGGCGACCCCTGGAATGTTGATAATTGTGATTCAGTGCTGGTGGGGAGCTTCAAAAGAGTCAGACTGTTGGCCGAAGAAATCGCGGCTTAAGATACCTTCTGCCCTGACTGGCCAAAATATGAAATATGCTAGTCATCTGGAGTGGCCAGGAGAGTCCAGTGGAATCGGAAATCAGGTTTTGGCGGTTTTAAAGGAGTTAGGAAGTGAGAATACACTCTTTTTATGCACTACTTTAGATTTTTCGGCCCTAATATTCGTCCGTTGATCCCGAAATTTGTCTTACCAACCCCTTTAATCAGAAAACCTGCAACTTTTTTTTTGCTATTGCCCATTGATCATCGAATGTGTCGAAAATCGGGGCAGTTGATGGGCGGATTGCGTCGGTGAGCCTAAGAAAAGCGCCACCCCTGGCCGTGTTTTGCGCTTCTTTTCGGCAACAGCTGACAACCACCCACCAGCACGACGGGGTCGCTTGCTGCTCGTCGGTGAGGAACACAGCATCCGCCTCATGCTCTCCGGATACATCAGGTTTTTGTTGTAGTTTTGAAGGTTTTCTCTGATCTGTGCGTCGGTAGGAAAGTTGCGTAGTTTTATTAAGCGATCTTCACGTGATTTCCTGTGATAATCACTTTAGAGTAGCGCGGGCCGAATTTTTGGTGGTGTGGACTCTCTCTCTCTCTCTCTCTCTCTCTCTCTCTATCACGCTTGCCCTGCCTCTCCCTATCTCTCACGCTCCCTCTCTCTCTCGCTCGCTTGCTCTGCCTCTCCTTATCTCTCACGCTCCCTCTCTCTCACTCGCTCGCTCTCGCTGTCTCTCTCTGTCTCTCCCTTTCTCTAACTGCCAAAGAAAACCTACAAACTTCCTGCTACCATTACCCAATTATACTATCCACACTCCACCCACCCACCTCCACGACCATAAATCGGAGCCGGTCTATTGACAAAAAACCCTCGGATTCCCCTCCCCCGCCTGAAGAAATATGGGCCAATTTGCATTCGGAAAACGTTTTTCAAGACCCCATTTTCACCAGATTTCTTTTGTTTTGCCGCAAAACCTTATCTCGCAACAACACAACAAAATAGACTGCCACCGGGCCCCCGAGATCAATCAATAGCCGGGCCCCTGGGGGGACAAGGGGCCGCCACATGACCCCAGGGCCTCTCGATTTTTCGGGGAGCGAATTTCGGGCTTAAAAGAGGGAGTTTGGGGGCGAACACATGTCCCGCCGGGTTTCGACAAAGCCAACAGCATCTGGCTATCAAAAAATTGGGATTAATGGGTTTGGAAACGGGGGAAAAGCTAACCATCAGATAACCAAGTTAGAACTTTATTTATATGTCTATTTAATGGCTTAATTATATACCTATAAAATTCTAAAAAGAATTAGACCTCAAGACAACAATTGAAAATGAGGAACGAATAGGCTGACATCTACCTTTTGAGTGACACCCACTCGATGGTATGGCTGCCCGTCGCCGGCGGCACCATCCGTTATCTACCGGTCCCCTCTCCAGATCCCCATGGCCGCGTGGCGCAATGGATAACGCGTCTGCCTACGGAGCAGAAGATTGAAGGTTCGAATCCTTCCGTGGTCGAAAATTTTTGCTTTTTGAAATTTTGGTTTGACATCTTGCAAAATATAGAACCTGGTGGTAGATGCAATGATTTTTGATTTAAGTGGCATGATTTGTGAGAATTTGAGAAACTGATATTGGCATTCTCTTCTAACGATTCCTTAAGAGTCACCCAGACATTTCAATTTCAGGTATGACTCGTCAACCTCGGAAATTTGACATTGTGACGTAGTTTGGAATTTTGGAGGATAGGGCGCACTTAATAGCGTGCCCGGGGCAGGGGAGGAGAAAGCCAGATGAGTCAGGGGTCGGCGCGCCCGGGGGCAGACCGGAAATATTCGCGGTATTTTTGGACGTCCGCCCCAGCTGTGGATATTAACTTTCTTCCATGGCTTTCGCTTTTTCCTTTCTCGACATCCGCGTGGGTGTTCCGCGGGATTTTCCGTCTTTTTCTACGTCTCTGTTGTTGGGTCCAGTATATTCACACATGTGAGGAGGGGGTGAAAGTGTTTGTCCGATTCGGGCGCGCGGGGGAGATGGGCCCAAAAGTGGGCCCGGATCGTGGCCCACGGTCCTTTACCATGACGCCCCGCTTTTCACGTCCGCATCCGTGGAGGCCATTCAGGGATGACAATATTCTTTTCATATCTTTTGTATTTCTTGAGTGCCCGTTCCGTGGTTTGATCTGACAATGCCTAGAGGTAGGTGGGAATCGGCAGACGGTTTTCGGGAATTTGGGCTGTTCCGGACTTCCGTTTTGGGTCTCTAGGTTTTGATTAGGTTCTATTGGTTTCGAGGGAAAATTCTTGAGATCAGGGTGGGCTTTCGACATTTTACTTGGCTTATCCGGCACAGAATTTTTCGCCGATTCGAAATATTTTTTTCAAAAACTGCAAATTTACCTGATTCCGAAACTTGCACCGCGGATAGCACGAATTTGGTCGAACATCCCGGGCTTTAAAACCTACTCGAAATTTTGTAAAATCTTTCCCGTGTTGCGCTCCGCTCTTAAGTTAGGTTCAGGTTTAGGCTTCATTCGGCCTAAGTAAAGGCCGAATAAATCTTTAAATTTTGAATTGTGTCGGAAGTCTAACAAAAAGTAGAAACTTGGGTACCGAGAGTGAATTTCAGCTTTGTTCCAAAATATGTTAAGCTCAGATTAAACCCTTTTTTCAATGATTTTTCGATTATTCAATGGCCGATACCTTACTGTCTTTGCTTCACTTTCGTCATCTGATTCCCTCCCGTCAATTCCCAGCTCGTTTCCTCCATCAGAGTTATCGTTTATTCCCCACGCGGGGGGGTGGCAGCAGCCAGTGGTGCTGAGGATCCCATATCGTCGCCCCCATTCAGCGGGTATCTGGAACCGAAACCTCTAGACGAGGATGGCAATATGCCGATTGAAGGAGGAGGAAGAAACGGATGGGACAATCCAATCATTCTTGTTGCCAATTTCTGCTTGAAACTCTTCGACTTATTTTTATTGATTATTTATTGCACCCTTTTTTATATCGACGATTTTCGTAACCTTGAACGGTGATAATGCTGATTTTCTTGATCAACCTGGTTTCAAAAAAAGCTATTTTTTGAAATGTCGAATTCTCTGCCTGTTCGTTTCTACAATGGCAATCGCTTGGCAGCCAGTTCATCAAAGTGACGGATCACTGCAACATCCAATCTTCCAAACATCAATTTTCCCGATGTCAAATATTGTGAAAAATGGAAAAAATGCCGATTTAGCATTATACTGATTGCCGTGATGCCGGCTTTAAAAACCTTAAATTTCCTGTATATATCAATTCCTTACCACCCCCCATTATCCATTCATGTATGCATACAGTCCGACATTTGCTTGGCTGTATGTCTGCCTGTATGTCTATCTGTCTTTTTCAGTGTCTGTCCGTCTCCCTATATGCTATTCGCCTCATTTCCCACGGCTTTTTTGTTGTCCATCCGGGAACGACCTCCCCCTCCTGCTCACCACCTCCCTCCGGGCTGTATGCCGAGGGACAGTCCATTTCTTTCTCGGCTTATCATTTCTCGCTTCCGTTTTTTGGTTGAAAGAAATTGAGAGTTTTTTTGATGTCCAGAACTGCTGGTCAAAAATTAGAATTTTACGAGTCTATCGAAATACGATATATTTAGTAGTTTCTCTTTCGCTCCCGGATGCTCGTTATCTGTCTTTCTCTCTCTCTCTCTCTCTCTCTCTCTCTCTTTCTCTCTCTCTCGCTCTCTCGCTTAATAGCTTTTTTCAGTATCCTCACAAATGCTTCGCCGGCGAGCATAGAATAGAGCCAGAAAGACACTACCAACAGTGGTGAGAGAGCGAAACACCCAGAGAAAGAGGGTACCAATCCGGCCAGAATGTCGTCTTCGCACCCAGTGCTCAGACCAACGGCTAAAACGAAGCCCACCCTGCTCACACCAGATGGGGAGCCAAAGCCGAAGAAGAAGATCGTGAAGAAGATCAGGGCAAAGAGCGCGCAGCCTGAGGTTGGTCCTGAGCGAGAGAGAGAGAGAGAGAGAGAGAGAGAGAGAGAAAGCAGGGACTGAGAGAAACCATTTTGCATTTTCTAGTCCGATGAAAATGCGGCTCCTCCACCTCCGCCTCCCCCTCCAGCTATGGCCCCACCACCTCCACCTCCGTCATCATTACTAGTCCCGCCATCCGCTGGCCTTAAAAAGTACCTAGAAATTCTGAAATTAATTTAAATACCTTTAGAGCCACCTCTAACCCGAACTTGTCGAAGTTGGGCGGAAAGAACCCGCAGCAGATGGATTTGGACGACTTCTTGAAGTCGGTCAGAGGTAAGCGTGGGGTTAGGCTTATTCGTCGGCTTAGGCTTACAAACTCGGATTTTTAATAAGCTTTTTCCAGGCGGTATAAAACTGCGAAAGACGGTAACCAACGACAAGTCGGGGCTGATCGTCGACGATACGATGCTGGAGGGCGGGCTTTTCAAGAAGGAGGAGCGTAAGTTTACAGAGCTCATTTTTAGGCTTATGACAATTTATTAATACATTTATTATGATAGTAATACTGGTTTTTAGCGAGCACCTCCTCAGCACCACCTCCCCCTCCTCCACCTCCACCCCCATGCCTCGCCCCACCTCCTCCCCCCCTCCCCGGCGCTTCACCCGGCTCCTCGCCACGACCAGAGCGGAAGGAGGTAGTGGAGTGTACTCTACAATTTCTAAAACGGTCTTAGATCACCAACAAGGCTCTCTTAAACCTCGGAGGGAAGACGAGCAACCAAGTGGACTTGGGGCAGTTTTTGACGTCGATAAAGGGTATGTTTTATGGATTTTGAAGCTGATTCTGGTTCGTTAGAAACTTCATTTTCAATTTCGCCATTGACTGTCTGTTAAACTAAATATTCTAGGCGGCATTAAACTACGAAAAACGGAAACCTCTGATAAATCCGGGCTGATTGTCGACGACACGATGCTGGAGGGAGGGCTGTTTCAGAAGAAGGAGGGCGCCATTCCCGAATTTACACGTAGGCTTTTGGCCTTGTTTTAAGACGCAAAATATATACTTAAATTAAAATTAAAAAAATATATAATGGTAGATCTTTTTATTTTAGTGCCCGACTTCCCTCCAGCCCGCTCCCCCGTTCCTCCACCACCCCCACCAGGACCGCCGCCGCCTCCAGGGGACGGCCCTGTAAGTATTATTTAATTTAACGATTTAGTCCGTTATTTTGTAGCCTACGTGATCATTTCGAGTTGAAACCATTAAAAATACCAATTTCTAAAATTAGGCTAGCGAAATCGGCTTCCGAAAATTTTACCAAATCATTGAATATCTTTAAATTCATTCAACGCTAAAATGTTTCATTTCAAAGCTGGAGAGTTGGTATTTTCAGAAAACGCCAATTTCAAACTATGCTGTTTCAGCCTCCACCCCCCTCGGCACCGGCACCTCCCCGGGTAAAGAAGGAGGTCACCGACCCGAGGCTGAAGAAGCTAGGCGGGAAAACGGCCGCCGATGTGAATATGGGCGATTTGTTGAATAATATTAAAGGTATAGTTTCGTCGAGCTTGTTCCTCTCTCTCTCTCTCTCTCTCTCTCTCTCTCTCTCTCTCTCTCTCTCCCTATCGCTCGCTCTCTCTGTCTCTATTCGTTCTCTCTCTCACGCTCTTTGGCTCACTCTCCCAGTTCTGTCTAATTTTCTCTCGCTCTTCTCTCTCTCTCTCTCTCTCTCTCTCTCTCTCTCTCTTTCTCTCTCTCTCTCTCTCTCTCTCTCTCTCTCTCTCTTTCTTTCTCTCTCAATGCGTCTATTTCAGGCGGCATCCGGCTCAAAAAGGTTGAAACCAAGGATCGCTCCGGGTTGATCGTTGACGAGACGATGACTTCCGGTACCCCGCTGGTCCGGATCGACAACGAAAAGCTGGCCCAGGCGCGCCATATTCCGGATCCGGAAGAGGTACCAACCCTAGGAAGTTAAGTAAATTCCATTTTTTCAGGAAATCACCGAAGAAGAGGCGGCTGCCCTGCTCGAAGAGCTCGACAACCCAAAGCCGAAGAAGGTCGAGCCCAAAAAGGTTTGAAATTGTTGTTTTAAAGGGCTTGTCTAGGAATACATCCGGCCTTGTCCATGTAGGTCGATGGCTTCAAAGGCAGTCTAGCAGAGACTCTTTACGACTAATTTTCTGAAGCTCTGTATGGGCGAGCAAGGAAGACAAAAGAAACCTCAATTTTTAGCCCGACCCTCCGCCAGAGCCTAAAAAGCCCGACTTTGCCTTCGATGAGAAAAACTTGCACATCACCGCCGACGACATTGCCAAGGAGGTCAAGAAGGGGACGACGGCCGGGATGAAGGCACTTTGGGACAAGCAGCAAGATCAGTCTCCACAGCTTCAGACACGGATTCTACCGCTTGATCAGAGGATGCCGGTCAGGGTCAGTGTTTAAACTTTAAAGGGGCTGAGACAACTAGAAACGCATGACTTCAAAGCTTGTGAAATATATCACTTAAAAGGCTTTGGCAAGTAGATGCTCACCGAGCTCGAGATACTCGAAATTTTATAGCTCTGAAGTAACCTGTCCTTTCCAGCGAAAATTCACCCTTGCCAAGGAAGAGTCCGAGGAAGAGGAAGAGGAGGAAGAGGTCGTCATCAAGAAAACGATAGCCCCAGCCGCCACAGCCAGGAAAGACAGCAAAGGCGCCGACGTCGCCAAGGAGATCAAGCGGCTGAGGAATGCCAAGCTGAAGAAGAAGGTAAAATCGAAAAATATGAATCATGCTGAAATTAATTCAGGAGCAATCTATCGATATGCCTGACCTCTCTGAGGCTGATGCGGCTGCACTGCTAGAAGAACTTGAGGCTGATGAGGAGGAGAGGCAAAAGGAGAAGAAGGCGGCCAAGGATTGGAAGAATTCGTTGACAGCTCCGGGCAGGATTTTGAGAGCGAGCAGTACACCGCCGGTAGGTGGCAGTGCGAATAGGGTTCCAAATGAAGTACATGGTTAGCAGAGATTCTTTAGGAAAGGCAAGCTAGCGGAGATTCTTTGAGAAAGGCGAGCTAGCAGAGATTCTTTAGGCAAGGCAAGCTAGCAGAGATTCTTTAAGAAATTAGCCTGAACCCCTAATCCTCCATTTTTCAGGCTCCCGCCTCTGATGAGCGGGTAGGATTTGATGAGAAGAGCTTGGTCACGACGAAGGAAGATATCGAAAAGGTATCGTAACGGATTGGGAAAGTTACTATTTTGCTTCAATTTAGGAAATCCCGATCGGTGCTGCTCGTGGCATGAAAGCGCTGTGGGACCAGAACGGGCAGTCCGGGTTCATGAACAACAAGGCTCAAGCCCCAGTGCCCCGGATACGGTTACAGGACACTTTTGTGAGACGGGAAGAGGAAGAAGAGGATCGGAGAGATAGCAAGAAGACGCTGGCACCGGTCGAGAGGAAGAAGAGGACGTTGAAGAAGCAGGTACGGTAGGGCAAAATGTCGTGAGTACTGTAGTTAATGCTCCAGATACTGTCATGCCTGGGCCAAAGCGTAAGGCTAAGCCTAAACCTGAGCCTAAGCCCCAGCCTACGCCTAAACCGAAGCCGAAGTCTAAGCCTAAGCCTAAACCCAAGCCGAAGCATAAGCCTAAACCTCGTTATATCATATTTTCCAGGACTCCGACTTCGAGATGCCGGACATCTCGGAAGCGGAAGCAGCCAGATTGCTGGAGGAGATGGAGAAGGATTCGGATGATGAGGTATCGGAATTTTTGGCTGTATCCATCTACCTTTTCATCAGGACCGCTCGAAAGCCGATGCCTGCTACGACGAGAAGAGTCTGCACATCTCGAGGGCCGATCTGGAGAAGGTAGAGATCGGAAAGAGTGGTGGTGGTAGTGGTGTGGATAGTAGTGGAGGGGAGGGAGAGGTCGAGGAGGAGGAGGAGGAGGATGAGGAAGAGGAGCCAGAAAAATCAGTTGCGGCATCCAAAGCTGAAGCTTCTGAAGAGAAAGAGGAGGAAGAAGAGGATGAAGAAGCGGAGGACGAGCAAGAGTCTGAAAAACCGGTTACGACATCTAAAACTGAAGTTTCTGAAGAGGAAGAAGAGGAGGAAGACGAAGCCGAAGCCACCGAGGAGGAAGAAGAGGAAGAAGAGCCGGTTACGACGTCTAAATCAAAACCTATGGCTTCCGAAGCTTCAGAAGAGGACGAAGAAGATGAAGCCGAAGCTTCTGAGGAAGAAGAAGCCTCAGAATATGAGGATGAAGAAGAGAAACCGGCTACGCCACCTAAAAGAGCACCTCCAGTTTTGGTGTCTGAATCCGAAGAGGAGGAAGAAGAATATTCTGAATATGAAGATGAGGAAGATTGAGCATCAGCTCGTCCTCCATTCCCTCCACCTCATGCTCGTAAACCCAAGCCAAAGCCTCCCTCCAAACCCCGAAAATTCCGCTTTACCCCCCCCTCACGCTTCTCACGCTTGTCACCCCTCTGAAGTCAATCTTTTGAAATTCGCTTTGATTTTGTGAATTTTGCACTATTTGCGGTTTTTGTAGTTTGTGATGTGTTGTGCTTTGTTGCCTGTAGTTTGTAGCCAAGTTCCCTACGCATTTTCTCAACCAAAACCCTTACGATTAGTAATAAGGAAAACCTACCGGTGCCAATTTCTGGTCACTACTCTACGGTCACCACTAGCCATACACAAAAGTGCATTATAATCACCATGTATTTTTCATTACTCTTAAGAAATTCTTACTTAATTTCCATTGTATTCCCGCTTTGCTTTGCTTGGCGTTCAAGTTGTGCTTCTCCCTGCACCCTAAAATGCACCAATTCCACCGTAACCCCTGAAAAGAGCTTGAGCACCCCCTATTAGTGTGCCGTGTTTCTGCCAATACTGTCGAGATTTCTTTTCATGGCTTGTATGCAAATTTCGGAGCCCTAGTCCAGGGAAACTCGCAACTTGAACGTACCTTAAAACCGAGCAAATTCTGTCTCCCTACTTCTACCAATCTTATACATCATCATGGTGATGAAAACTGTAATTTCTTTACCTTTAAAAGACACCAAAATCTTTTGCATGCGAGATACGCACAAATTCAATTCTTTTTGAAATTGTTTTAGTATTTTTAAGCCAATTTGGAGAATAAATTTTGTGTAAGAAACTGGAGTATGTTACGTTACGTTGCGAGTTTCACGGAATGGGAGTCAAGAAATGCACAAGCCATGGACGGAAATGCAGCACAGACACTCAAATTAGGGCATACATTCACAAATACGAGCCCCTTTTTATTAAATTTATCTTTTCCATGCTTATTTAAAGAGAAAAATCCATTTTTATGTTTGAAAAATTACTCAAATATTCCCAATTTTGAATTGACGGTCTAGACTTGTAAGGTTTTTATGGATAGAAACATAGCACAAGAAAATTCCAGTAGTTGCTTTTGCCCGAATCAACTTGAACAAAAATTCCAGGAGATCCCGACCGGAAAAGCCGCCGGAATTCGAGCCATGTTCGATCCGTCCAATGGCGGATATCAGAGAGCAGCCTCAGCACAACCGGAGCTCGGCTGCCCTAAGCGGATACTTCGTGATACCTTTGTCAGGGTACGGTAACCAGCTTCTTCAAGATATAGCGCCCCCCCCCCCCCCCCCCAGAATTCCCATTACTTAATGCCCTAGAACACTAGCTTCTACTAAATAACTTGAAAAGAGCCCTTTTTAGCAAGACTCCGACTCGGACATCCCGGCAGAAAGCGACGCCGATTTTGTCGGTGATCTGGGCAAGATCAGAAAGGAGGACATTGAAGCCGAGGTCCCGCGTGGAACAGCTGCAAAACTCGCGTCGCTATGGGCCAACAAGGAAACGACGAAGGATTCGATTGGTGCCCCGCAACGGTAAGGTTTTAAGGTTTTAAAGGGCCCGGGAAGCTAAGTAAGTATAGATCAGATCGGGATCAGACCCCAAGAAAAGATATACAGTAACTCCGTGCTAATAGATTTTTTTCAGAACCGTCAACCGCTTGAAAACTCCGGAACCCCAGCCGGCTAAGGTAGAACCGAATAATAATCAGGTATATAAAAATATATCGCTTTTTGAATATCGATTTGTTTAGATCAATGGCCGCGCCTCACCTCAACCAACGAAATGGGCACCGGTACAGACGAGTGGATTGGCCAGGCAGAAACAGGTAGGTATTTAGATCCCCATCTCTCTCTCTCTCTCTATCTCACCCTCTCTCTTTCTCTGCAACTTTTCGTGTTCAAACCGTTTTTCAGATTGGAGAGACCCCTCGAGCTGGCTCTGTGCTGAGAGATGCACCGGAAGTGTAAGTTTTGGAAAAAGCTAGAAAGAGAGAGCCTAGAAACCCATGATTATGCTAATTTATTTAGAAAACCCGCTAAGGTCGAAAAGCCAAAAGTGGAGGAGAAGAAGGCGGAGAAGGTCGAGGAGAAGACGACGCGCAAGAGGTCGATCAAGAAGGTATATTCTAAATTAAAACTAATAGCAGTAAAGCTACGAAAACAAACTACAATTTACTGTAGTAGACGTTCAAATAAAATTAGCAGCCTCTCTTTACAGAAAAAATCCGACGCCACTCAACCTGCACCAAGCTTTGCCGTTGAGCCGAAGAAGGACGTCGCTAAAGTAAGAATTTGACACCGTAAAACACATCTATTTTTAGCCAAAATCCCCGGCCACCACTACCGTATTGCCGAAAAAGGTTGAGGAGAAGGTGGAGGAGAAAAAGGCCGAACCGAAGCCGTTATCAGCCAAGGCCGAGGCGGCAAGGGTAAGCAATATAATCGCCAAATGTCGTGAAGGCTACTCAGAATACGGTAGATGAACAGAAAAATCCACGCAATCGAAATATGCAATTTCAATTTCCAGAAAAAATTCGAGCCAGTCCCCTCTGCCAACCCGATGTCGTTTGCCGTCGAGCCGAAGAAGCCGTCAGATAGGACAGTATCAGAAACCGGAAAGAAGAAAATGGAAGGCATGGAGAAGAAGCCGAGCAAGGAGAAGAAGGAGGAGAGCAAGCTGAAGAGGGGCGACTCCAAGAGGGGATCGCATAAGAGGAAAGGTGAGAGAGAGTGAGAGAGCGAGAGAGAGTGAGAGAGAGAAAGAGAAAGAGAAGAGAGAGAGAGAGAGAGAGTACGCTAGTGAAAGAGAGTGAGAAAACCGAGAGCGAGAGAGAGAGTACCAAAATTTTTCAGAAAAACCCACTGCCAAGGTGGCCCCAGCCGTTGCGAAGGCCGACGAGCCGAAACCCACTGTGAATCCTGTCGTCGACAAGGTAGGAAAATTGGGTATAAAAAGGGTTTCGGTGTTTGGGGTTAAGGTATTTTAATAATACCGTAATACTTTCCGTTACTATGGTAATACGGCAGCTAAAACAGTCGCGGAAAATACAGGAAACTGTTTTTAAAGAGTTTTGGCAATTTTTAAGGTTTTCCTTCAAAAACCGTGTGAAAAAAAGTCCAACTTTATTAGTTGATTAAAACACACAAAAAGTACCTTAAAAAAGTATTATGTGTAAATTGGAAAATACTGTAACAGAAACTGCATATTTCTCTGCTTTTTCCAGCTTTTTCCAGCTTTTCTCGGCTTTTCCATTGGTTCCCACAGCTTCCCGAGTCCACCGGCCACACCCCCAGCACCGCTTCCACCTTTTAGAAAGTCGAGCCGGCTCCCAAAACTACCGTAACCCGACCGCCCGTCACCGGCACGGTCAAGTCAGCCACTGACGGCGTGTTGAAACCGACCAGCCGTCCCTTTTTCCTCAATAAACGCCAGGATTCGGTGACAAAGCCCGAGCCCCCGTCTACTACGGCTTCAAAAACGACGTCAGCAAGCAGTACAGCCGCCGCTGCCACTGCAAGACCCGTCGCCAAGCCGGCATCAGCTAGCAGCACAACTGCAATCCCAACGACGACTTCAAAAATTGTCCAAAGGACGGCCCCGGTGACGAACGCCGACTCCAGCACGGGTACCACAAAAACGACGTTGACGATTAAGACGGTATGCAAATTGAGTGGATTTTGGGTTTGGCTCTTCCTTTCCCCTGGGTGCTTTAAAGTTAGACTTCGGCTTGGCTTCGGCTTAGCTTAGGCTTAGCTTAGGCTTAGCTTAGGCTTAGTTTAGGCTTGGCCTCGGCTTCGATATGGCTTAGGCTGAGGCTGAGGCTTGGCTTAGGCTTGAGCTTCGGTGGCCTACTTTCGAAGCAAGGCTGTTTGAAGAGGCTTCGGGAACACTAAAATTTTTATGCGAGTTTTTCTGTGTTTTTTTCGTGTGTTCCCGATCTCTTTAAAAGGCTAGTTGACCCATTTCCCCCTCAGGCTCCCTGACTTTATACCTCATGCTCAAACTCCCAAGCTGATTCTCCCTTTTCTAGCGCACCAGACACAACTAAGAACGCTTGTTACCCAAAAACGTGTACACACCAAACATTATTATTGTGGGTAAGTGGTGGTGGAACTAATCCGGAGTTTCACTTGGTTTCCGATGGAGTTGAGTTTTATTAATTTCTGGCACTCACCCGATATTGTTAAAATAACGATTACTTGAAGCAAATCGTAAAAATTTGAGTGTTTTAGAGGTCTAAAAATTTAAGTAAAATTAAAGATGAAAATCCAGCTATTTCAAAGCTTTCCCTTTTTCGCTCTAATATTAGGTAAAATGGATTTTTAGCCACAGATTATTATAACAAAATACACTCAATAAATATAAATTTTTGATTAATAAAATCCTAAATTTTACAATTTTCGAAAAATTGAAATTTTTCAAAAAAATTTGAGTTTCTAAATTCCAAATTTCGAAAATTGCGGATTTGACAAAAACCGTTTAAATCAAAAAAAAATTTTATTTAATCTGTTTTATTAAATTGCTTAAAATCTTATTAAAATCAACGATATTCAAAAATATCAAATTATTGAGCTTTGAAACCATATTTAAAACTAAAATTTTACAAAGATAAGCGCACGCCATTTTCTCAACCTAAAAAAACTTTGTCGAGTGTCCAAATAAAAGCATGAAAATGATGTAAATCAAAGTTTAATTAAAGTACCCGAATTTGCAGGAGGTTTCCGCTTGCTCGGACATGTTCGCCTTGGGGCCGCGGTTGATTTGCGATACGGTGGATGTGGGCACGGATCCGCTACGGTACCTCGAGGTGCCCGTAACGCTCGACTGGGCCACGTGGGCCGCTGCGGGACCTCAGAGTGTTCATCATCATATTCATCATGTATATCATCATCACCATCAAGGGCCCATTTCGCCAAATTCATTAATCTATCCACTGTGGAGCACCTTGGGAAACAATCCGTGTTGGTTACGGTAGTTGGGGTGATTCTTAGGGGTTAAAGGGACTGGAAAGTTAAGAAATTCTTTGTATTTTCTTCATATACTGGAAAGGAGCTGGCTACGGTAGTTGGGTCAGGGTTTAGGGATTTTAAAGGGATTGGATACTCAGGTAATTACCGGTATTTCCTATATGCTGGAAAAGTGATGGTTACGGTAGTTTGGTCAAGGTCTAGGGATTTTATAGGAATTGGGAAGTCAGAAAATTCTTTGTATTTTCTAGACGATGCCGGACAACTGTTGGTTACGGTAATTCGGTCGATTTTAAGGGCCTTTAAGGCATTGGGAAGGCAAGAAATTTTTGTATTTCCTAGATAATGCATGAAAACTGAAAAAAACTGAATTTTTTGAAGTCCAAACCAGTTTAAAGGGATTGTGAAGCCAAGAATCCATATAATCGAAATTTAGGTTTTTTTAAAGGCTTGAGATAATTTTTCCCGACTACCGCAACCACCGTAAATCAAAACCGGTACAAGGCTACGGAAAAAATATAAAACCAATGAAAATCAAAAAAATTAGGATATCCAGCTACCGTAACCGCAATTCTAATTTTTTGGAATCTACCGACTACCGTAAGCAACCCTTTGAATTTGGCACCTATCGCTACCGTAACCCCAGATTTCTCTTTCAACCGTACCCCGTTTTTCTCTATCATCGTACCAGTACCGTACGCCCTCCCCTTTGTTAGAGATCTGCATTTTTCGTGTTTGTTCATTTATGTGATTTACATCCTTCTATTTCTAGTGTTTTGCTAAACTAGTCACCCGATTACAGTACCGTCCGTCGTAGCGGCTCGTACCATCACCCATTATTATCGGTATTTATTCGAATTTTGGCTTGAATTCCGCTTGTAGCTTTAATTTTAACGGCTTTCACATACAGTTCTTTGCCAGCTTTGCCCCCCATCCATTTGCTTTCAGTTGGAAAAACAAGAAGAAAACAATCAGAACCCAAATCTCAGCTTTCACCCCCTTAAAAATTGGCTTTAATCGGTTTCTACAGTACCCATTTCTGGTTTTTTATTTGTATAGATTTTCAGCTCATATTAATTGCTTTTTTATATTTTTTTTACTGATAAATTCGTGTGCCTTTGATTAATGCGTGCTCAATAAATATGAAGGGCCTTAGAAAAAGGAAAACGACGCTAGAAAGCGTTGAAAATGCAAAAAATGATAATTTGGGAGCCGGGCAGCTAGCAGAGATCGTTGAGGAACCCAGGGCAGACTAGCAGACAGCGTTGAGGAATCGCGGGTGGCTAGCAGAGATGCTCTGAGGAATTAAGGCGAGGCATGTTAGCAGAAAACATTGAGGAAAAACGAAAGGTAGGCTAGCAGAGATTATTTAGGAATTCGGGGACGAATAGCGGAGAATCTTGAGGAATTCGGTACAAGGGAGTACGAGCTTATTGAGAACACTCAGAAACATGGTGATTGCAAATCAGGAAATCGTTTGGGTAGAAGACTTTTTAAATCATTCGGCTTCTCTCTCCCGCTCTTTCGCTCTTTCTCTCTCTCTCTCTCTCTCTCTCTCTCTCTCTCTCGCTCTCTCTCTATATCCTGCAGTTTTACAGAATTTCCATCAAATCATGTCATTTCCACGGTTTCAAAGATCCACCTCCATCTACCGGAAGTGCATTGCTCACCCAGTTCGATTCGGCTTCTTCTCTGGCCTCTTCACGTCCTTTTTTTGGGGTCACGCGGCCCCGCTGGGCCTATATTCTGTTTATCTGGGCCGTCGTCGTGGGGGGAGGGGTGCACTTTAGGGGACCAGAAATCGGGCAGTTGTTTTCGAGGCGTCTGCCCGGGGAGTCGGGGCTAGAGACCGCATCTTTTCAAGAGACGCAGCGTCCCAGACAACGTGAAAGCGCCGAAAAGGGGGGCGGAGCGTGGATCGGAGTGGAATTTGGAAAAATGCATGCACATAGCACGGTGAGAAAGCCAGAGAGGAAAAGAGGGTGAGTGTCGATTGAGGGGAATAGTTAATCGTGTCGCTCTCTTTCCCCCTCTCTCTCCCTAAAAATGACCGAAAGTACGGCACTGAACTATGGACTGAAAATTGGAGCCCTGTCAAAAATAGCCAACCCCGAAAAGGGCGGCGCTTACAAGATCTTTGGCACTGAAAATTTCTGTATGTCTGTTAGTTCTCTCTCTCTCTCTCTCTCTCTCTCTCTCTCTCTCTCTCTCTCCCTTTCTCTTTCTATCTCTTTGTCGCTCTCGCTCTCTCTCGCTTTATCTATCTCACGCACTCTCTCTCTCTCGGTCTCTCGGTCTCTCTCTTTCTCTCTCTCTCTCTCTCTCTCTCTCTCTCTCTCTCTCGGTATCATTGTCTCTCTAGCTCTCGCCTGAAAGCCGAGCCAAATTTGTATATTTGCAAAGAATCGAAAGTATCTGTAAAAACTGATCGAAAGGATAAGAATAAATTGATGAAAGAAACTAATGAAAAAATATAAAGAGCTTTAAGCAATCGAGTAAATAAGAATAGGGTTTAAAATTAATTTATTACGACCCTAAAAACGCGCTGGTCCACACCGTCCATTGGAAAGTTACGTACACTTACCTTGCAACAGTTTTTACTGCAAAACAAGCACCACCGTTTCCGGGCTTCACGTTTCCACGCACAGCCTGGCGACTGTTTGGCCAAGGGGCGAATATTTGCACTGTAGGACGAGGGGTGGTGAGGCGCCTGCGCAACACTTTTAGCCTTTTTCTCGTAGGCTTTCCCCGACCTTTCAAAAGTTTCTTTGACAGTCAACGGTAGCAGCGCCCTGGGGGCTCATTGCGGACTACATTCTCGGCGTTTTCCTTGTTTTTCAGGAGACTTAAAAGGATAAAATCTGTTGAATCACTTGCAAAACATTTCCGCTCAGATTTTTCGCGGAAACCCCTTGAAAAACCTTGTTCCGGCCTTAAAAATGAACTTCATTGTTTACCATGCCGCGCTGTAGAGGCGTGCAAGTTCAGCACTGTGGAATCCGCCCAATTTAGCTCCGTAAAATCCTGACGTTCCTGACGTACCCGAGCGGAATTGAGGAATCGTCGGGATTTTTGATCATTCTAGGGGTACTGGACTGCTAGCAGGAGGGATTTTTAAAAGTAGGGCAAACTTATTTTTCCCGATAATATTAGATCTTATCACAACATATGCACCGTTTTTATAGCATTTTACACAGTTTTTAGGTATAAAAAGTTCATAAAACTATTCAAAATTTCCGAATTTCTGAATTTTTGGTCAAAAATGGATGAAAAATCCCCCAAACAAGCCAAATCTTAGAATTTGCTAAAATCTGAAATATTCTGGGTAAATTCCTAGCGATCAAAAATTACTAAAAACATTACAAAAATACACAATTTATTATTAACAGATGACGCAGGAAAAAGATTTAGTTCCACCCCTCCCCCGTTAATAGTCCGGTACCATGAGAGTCTATTATGAGAATCCACGGTAAAAAATCCATAGCATTGCCTTGCAGGGGCCTTTAAAGCCAATTTCTATCGTCGACATCCGACTTCCAAAATTCTTGAAACCGCTCTAAAAATGCCCTGAAACGCCAGGTACCCCCATTTTTTACGTAGTCGCCTTTCCAGAAGCCCCTTTCCTGCTAGCCGCTAGGTGTTTACGCCATAGATCGGGGGCCCTTGCTCCCCTCCTCTGGAAATGAGCGGGGAGCGTAAACATCTTTCCCCAAAGAGCAAGAGCCCCTTTTAGGACCCCGGGCTCAAAAAGGGCGCCTAGGAAGGGGGGCCGCATCCAAAAAGTGCACATGTTGTTGGAGGCCAGCTGCCCCTTCCATTTCCCGCCAATGCCCGGAAAGGGGAAATTCCCTCTTTGGAATCCGTTTTTTGCATCGTTCGTTAAATGACCTCCTCCGCATGTGGGCCGTCCGTCATTTGGGTGTGGGCCGTAGCGGGGTGAATGCAGGGAATGACCCTGGGGATGTGAGGTCACGTACATAGAATCGCAAAAAACTGATGAAATGCGAGGTGATGGCTGTTTTAAAGGGACCGGCAAGGCAAACGACTAGTCGTGGACTCCTGGTTTTGGCTAAGTTAT